TCCTGGGTGAGGCTGTGTACATGGTCATCTTGACATTACGAGGTCCTTTGCAGCAATCCGCGCCGTCAAGTAAACAAACAAACAGATAAACACAGACGTGCAAGTTTGCTGCTTCTGGTGAAGCTGGTGACCTGGCGTTGTTGGCAAACACGATGCACGTTTTGACAATGGGCTCAGGTACACCGCAAATTCCGCCATGGACCGAAAATCACCATCATCACCATCATCCTCCCCATCACCAACACCAACACCTACCGGTTAAAAAGGTCAAAGATCCAGTTCTGCCGTCAAAAGGGCACCGAAAAGAAATGAAGCCCTGAAGACGGTTGGTTGCTCGGACCTTTCCCACCGTCAGTCTGTTCAGATAACTAGATCCGCCACTTTAACGCGGCATGTGTGAGCCACAAAAGTCCTGCGTGGCAAATGGCTGCCATCCCGATGCAGGGGGGGGAACGGATAAAATAACCTACGTACCACCCAGTCATTCCTTGCCTTTCGGGGGAGAAACGGTTGATCAACGCTCTATTTACTCCGTAGAGCCCCACGCGTTTTGTTTGCAGCACAGCTTGTTTCATCGATTATGCTTTGCCGGTGTTGGTTCTTGCCAGAGGGGTCAGCAGCTCGCCTCTCTCGTTTCGGGGGATGTGTATCCCGTAGTCGGAGGAGCTCCGTTTCGGCAATACGAGTTGTAGAAACGTCTTGAAGTTGTTGCACCTCGTTGCGGGGGGGAGGCTAGACAATAGCGTCTCTGCATTCGGAATGGATAGCCAGCCCTGTTTTCCGCCTCGTCCTCGGCCAGAGTAACTGACAATACTACCATGCTTACATTATATTATCAATACCATGGAGCGCAATGGCTAAGCACCTGATATCAATTGATGGCAAAATGCTTCTTGCCTCCTTGTCCCACTCACCCACTGTAGGCCCCGCTAAACCGTCTCACCAATCATTTCAAAATTCACCGAAACCACCAGCATATCTCACCAACTCACCACCACACTGCACCATATCGCCAGCGGTCTCACCTGTCTCAGGCATGCGCCGGGTCAAACCAGACGCCATCCCACGAACAGCATTCGCAAGGCCCGCCCCAACACAGTTGTGCCGGAAATCAAAGCGCGCATATTCAAGCCCGCCCTGTGATGTCAGGGCTCTCCCACACCCACTTTCAAGAAGGCTATGGCGCAGATTCAATGCTGGTTACATATTAAAAAATATATATATAAAAAATAAAAATTAAATAAAACCAAAAAAGACCAACCTGGCAAGATGGCATGTGGCAAGGGTGACATGCACTGGTCATGGTCATTCATTCACATGGCAATCCTATTTAAAAGGGAGACCGCTGACACTTAGTCGTGCGAGACACAGGCAACCTACTAGCCCTTTGTGGAAAGAAGGCGCATCTTGTTGGAGCGTTGCATTCCATGACGGGCACAAGGATAACGAGACTGGCATGATGCCCTTTTTTGGAGGGGATGGGATCTTTGTAAGTGCATGATTTCGAGAGGCATTTTTGTCGCGCATCGCTGTTGAAGAGCAATATGACCCTTGTGTTAGGGGTGCATAGACGAGTGATGCCAGGTCATAAACTTGACGCCACCATATTGCTATCTTGCACGTGTGCATCGCGCAATCATGTCGACAGCGATGACTTTTTTTTTCCCCAAAGGAATCTCCGCGAGTATCACAAGCCCGTCAAGGGAGAAGGGCAGATCACCACCCACTCAAACAACCGCCCTCCATGATGAACGCCATTGTAGCGCATTGTATCGACGGCAAATGTCCAAGGTATTCCGTCCATCAACGTTCCCCATCCCCATCCCATAATATTTGCACCGCCCATCCTCCAGCACCACATGGTATCGCCAATACCGCCAATCACGCTGTCCACCTCCTCCACCAACTTCATCCCAAGACCAAACGTTGGTCAAACTTGGCCCCCTGAATCCCCAGATACTACCCTTTTGCGCTTCTTCGCCCTCACCAGACTCTTTTGCCCCCCCATCCTCCCCCCTCGATACAAAATGCAGGGATTCAATTCGCAGGACCTCCCAAAAAAGCCACCCACGACTAAATTAGTAAACCCGCTGGGGCTGCCCCAGATTTTGGCAGGTGCACTTCCGACCAGGGGCGCCGATTGGGCAGCCACCGATGGCCCTGAAACCCAGCTCCGGGACACACTCGAAAACCTACACGCCCCCCCCCGGC